AAAATTACCCGGTGAAATTACTAGGTGGGACGTTTAGAGGACAACGATGATTGTGATTCAAAAATATTATCTGCGTGACTGTACTTTGTTATACATTCGGGTAAAATGTGAACGTGTGTCCAGTTGACGAAAACACAAAAGTAACTTAATTTGATTTTCACTATGTGGACATACATAAAAACCTTGGCGTGTCCAAATGACGAAAGAATAATTAGTGCTAATTTAAAGTTTCACCAACTGGACACACGTGTGATCAGTTCCTCGTGTCGAGTTGGTGAAAAACCCACAAGTGCATTACCGGTCTTTTGGGATCAGGAATTTGATAATTGTTGGGGATTCAGAGATTGGGGAAGGGGGTGCGGGGGTTAATTGGGTCTCCGGTTTCCTCACTCACACGACGAAACACAACGCAAGCGTTGGTTTCACTTCGGTCTTCTGCTCGGCCGTGGTATCACTCCGGTCGAGCCGGCACATTCGTGGCGAAGCATGGCTCTCCCACACTTAAACAGTATTTTAGGTTTGAGTCTGAATAACATTGTAGATATTTCTGCAGTTAAACTTTTAGCGAAAGATTTTGTTTTGTTTTTGTGGTGCTCTCATTTAGGTAGTGTATCTTCTAAATTATAAGATTAAAGTTATAAAGTATCAGAGATTATAATAGGAAACCTGGGCTTATAATTCCTAATTATAAGTTTGAAATCGCCAATCCGCATTGAGCAAGCGTGGTGATTCATGCTCAAACCTTCTCGTGTGAGATGAGGCTTTGCTCAGCAGTGGGTATTTATAGGCTGTTGATTGATCGATCATTGACCTCATGACGATTGATTACGTCGGTAAAACCTAGAGGACAAACTATCTAATATTTAAGTTGTCGGTAGATTTAGCATATTCCTTTGTTTTCAATAAATAATACCTAAGACACCTGAATATTATCTTATCTACGTCGCGTCGCCGCGTTAGATTATCGTTAGAAATTAAATTATGAATTTGTAATAATATGGATTAGTAACGTAACTGAGTAAATACCATTAGTGGAAGTATATTGACTGGACTAGATAGCTATCTGCTAATTGCTGCTAAGGAAGGTTTTGCAAATACGAAGGATGTTTTTATAGGATAAGCAGTAAACGAGAAGACGGATCACCTGATCGGCGCCGCCTATGGGCACCCGGAACAACAGAGGCGTTACAAGTCCGCCTATGGGCACCCGGAACAACAGAGACGTTACTAGTGCGTTGCCAGCAATTTGGGAATTTGAGGAATGTTGGGATTCAGGTATTGGGGAGATTAGGAGGGTAATTGCCGCTGCTCACACACACGCCGAAACACAACGCAAACGTTGTTTCACGTCCGTTTTCTGTGGCTTTCTGTCATGTGAAGCTAGAAAATTGTATCATTGAATTATTTTTTGTTTATATTTAAGGGCAAGTAAATCTGTAAACGGTTTATCTACTTCATTGTAGTTTGTACTGAATGTTGTATTCTATAATGGGACTGACGTTTATATCTTAGACAGTACTTCCCTACTCATAAAAAAAGATTAAAAAAAGAAAATAAATTATTTTGGTTAGTTATCACCAACCGCGATGGGTCTGGCAGTCATAAAGGAATGTCCATGTGCATAGTAGATGTCTTGGGAGTTATGTGACATGTGATAATGCAAAATCTAAAATATTTTTGGTACAATAAAAACTTTTGGCAAAAATCTTCCATCATTAAAACACTCGACACATTATACACAAGACAATTACAAACAGCCTCATTATACCTTACCCCACACCTTAATCCCAGCGCTGGGCAAAATTAAATTAACTCCGTAACTAATTAAACACCGTCTAACGAAACAATGCGTCACTTCGGCAAACAAGTGTCGCTTAATTACTGTTATATTGTTATGTTATGTTATGTTATATAGCGTGTAATATAACAGGCTGTAATGTAGCATGTGTCGTTAATATTTCAAATGGATACATAATAATAACAATGCGATGTGATGGCGGGTACAATTACGAGTTGTTGTGTGTGCGACCGATTGTGGTGCAACCTTTGAGAATTCATTTTAATGATGCTTTTTTAGTTAATGTTGAATAGCACTTTTAAAAACCAATATAAAAATGTTGATTGTCTTTTCTCAGTTATCACTAACGTCTTCTAATTTTTAAGGGGCCCTTAAACTAAGATAGATGACATTTTATGATAATTAAATTTTCACCAATCAACCTAAAAGAGCGTATTCCTATTTAAAAAGAACTCCTCTGGTATTCCGGGTGTTGTGGGTGTCTATGGGCGGCGCTGATTGCTTACCATCAGGTGATCCGCTTACACGCTTGCCTCCTATTCCGTAAAAAAAAATCAGTAAGTGACCTTCTTTTTCTTTTTTTTAGAGGGGAATTTCATCGAATGACTTCTCCAGCCTGGAAGGGACTCTTACTGACTAAAAAACCACCCTGTTCCTAAGTAACCCTTAACATTACAAGTAAGGGATTAGTTCAGGTGTTACGCCGCGCTAAGAAACTTTTAGTTAAAAGATGGTTTAGCGGCGGTTGGTATTTTGATACACTAAAACTCATTCATACGTTCTACTATTTTTTTTAAATATTCAATAATAAATTTGTACGAATACAGAACCTGAGACTAATGTTCGGTATCCCCTCTAGTGCCTATTTACCCAACGAGTCGAATATTCCGGTCTCGTGTTTTTAATCTAATTTTTGATATGAGTGTTGTGTAATATAGGCTTATAATTATTGTAAGTACCTATGCTTGTCAAGGATTGTCTAATTTAGGAATCTAATCCTAGCAATTAGTAATTGTGCGTACGTACGATTAGATCGAATGAGCCAATTCTTTTAGCTGATAAATTGATAAATAAAATGATAGAATTTTGTAGCTTTCAGTGCTTCTAATGATCGTTTGATTAAATTATGCTACCCTGTGATTACAACTGAAATATTTTACTAGAATGAAAATATCGAACGAGAACACAGGAAAGTTCCTAATATAGGGCAGTTTTTTTATTGTCTTTATTAATTTAGGGTCCTTTGGTCACACAAAAAAGAGACAGACCTCTGAGATTGTTTCGGCATTTCTTCTCAGAGTAGTCAGTTAGGAAATGTCGGCCTAATCGTTCGCTTGATAAAATTGACGTGTAAAAGTGCTTCCTTGTAGCCTATTTGCAGAAATAAATTCACTTGTTTCATACAAAGACCATGCCAGACCCATACATATTTAATAAAACATACATTTACTTCTTTACTATTCTTATTTACTATGTTATATATGAAGGTGGTTGCCGTTGCCGTGGATAAAGGCTTTGACAATATACTATGAATAATACCTTAAAAATGGGAACATCTTAAATACCCACAATCTCCAAGACCTGTAGAATCAAAACTAGTCTAGAAAAAAATTCAAATTTTATCTTCACATTCTTTAGCATTAAACCCTCATAGCTACGATAAATAAAAACATACAACTCATTATACAAGCGCCATACAAAAAAGCACTATCTCTACCTAATTGCAATGTCTATAAACACGCAATCAATTCACTACTTAACAAAAAAAACACCTTTACCCTGTCTTCTATAATGGGTAAAGCCTTCACCCTCTTCTGTCGTACAAGTGTCCCGTACATCGGACACAGTTGCCTGTGTGCGTTGCGTCTGCATGTGTGCGTTCTGTAATAGAGCGATGACGTGATTTCCTGCGCTGAGTTATTGCTACTGTGCCGGCGCTAAATGCTTCGTCTGATGTGACCTTGTCGGGGGGAGCGATTGTTTTTCGAAAAGATATTGAATGTGTTGGTATTTCTTGTGGATTGAAAGTTGGGAATGTTTTGTGTCAGTACTTATTTTTGATTCAATATTGAAAATTGTAAAGTCTCAAAAATCATTTTGGTATTTACTAAAGTTAACGGTTTTAAGAACTTTAAGTATTTCATAAAAAACGGGACTTCCTTTTGAGACATTTTTGTATAATGTTTCATCATTGATATTACTTTATTATGTGTCATTATCACAGGATGTACTTATCGCAATACCAAATCAAATACCTTCAATTAAAAGGTCAGTAATACGCAATAGAACTAAATGGATTTTCTTGTAAAATGATCTAACTATAAAATATTCTTTACATAGTTAATTGGTTTCTGCTGTCTTCATAAGAATGATAAATAATTTCCTTTGCTATCTTACACTAATTTTTAATTATAGCAGCAATCAAATTCACATTTATCGTGATATTCGAGTGATAACTAAACGATTACCAGTAATCGTCGATATCAGGCATCATTAACGTTATATTGAGAGGGTTAATCGAATATTTTTACACGATATTTAAGTATTTATGATCAAGCAAAAACATTTTATCGATGTTGATAGGTGAAAATACTGTACTATGATAATTGTGTTATCGTAAATGATTTTAATTATTAATTTGTGACGGCAATTATTTTTTATTAATTATACCTAATAGTTGGGACGCCACGAAGGTTGGTTTTGTGTTTCGAATATTTAACTTTTAATATTTTTTGTAAAGTGGCGCCGTTTTCTCTTTATTACGTTATTGACATTTAACCTATCTTTCTCATAGTGACAGTATTGGACTTGCCACGCTTGCATTTTAGGAAAAAGCGCGTATTAGATCTCAATAAAACTCCCTTCATACAACTTCAACAATTAGGGCGTAATAACAGCTGTATAAGAGTGTAATAACAGCTTGTTTTGAAAAGGTGTGAATTTCGAACAATATCAATCATAGACTGTATCAGTTAAACGTAAATTGAATTTTAAAGAACATCAAAAACTAAATCATATTGAAACAATTACGCAGCATTAACTTTGCAACGTTTTATACTACAGTAGAATCTATTGCTTCTTCCATTTAAAACAAACATAAATGAACCGCAGTTTCAAAACTTGTATCTCGCGAGACGCTTCTCCAAAGTCAGAGCGGCGGTCCCCAGCGAGGGGGTGGAGAAGGCAACAACTCATAAAATTAAGCGATTTGGATGTGAGTTAGTCTAACTGTGAGGATCGCCGAGTTAACAGTTCGCTAGCTATCTTCCTCGCACACGCACACGAGGACAGTACGTGTTTCGCCCGTCCGCTTCACCCACACATTGGCCAGGCTTCGCGAGCCGCCAGCGCCAGTACAACGTCACATCGGCCCGAACACGTTTCGTTTTCTCGTCTAGTTCCGTTCCCGCCACAATGCGCTGATTATCGGAAGTGTATTTGACGTTTGACATTTATGATCTGTGACTGTTCTGTGTTTTTTTTTATCGAGTGTTGTGTTTTGATGCACGGATAATTTCATACAGGTAAGTTATAATTTTTTTAATGAAGTTAACTTACTTTTTCTTGCAGTTGTTTTGTTGGTTGCTTTAAAAGTTTTGGTTCATGAAAGTTTCTTTGAGTTTACGCGTAAAGTTATTTTAGTTTCACTGAAAAAATCTAGTAGCTAATACAATCGAAAATATTTTTATGGTTTTTTCTTTATCTTTTATTAGATAGTGTAAAGATAATAACTAAGGTTGGGTTAAAAACTTTGTTTTGATAAATCTAATAAGACAATCGGACGACAAGCATTTTGCCTTTTGTGAATGAAAATTTATTAACGCAATAAAATATTAGAGTATAAACTAAATAATATTACAGAGCAATTAATTAGTGACATGAATAGTTCGAGTGCATAATATAGACATAAAGTTACTTACACAATGGCCCCGCGGCTATCATTAACAGTTCACAATTAGGGGTTCATTAAGCGATATAACTTTTGTTCAATTACGCCATTAATGATGAGCTGCCTTTATTGTAAAGAACTGAAACATTTAACAATTACATTAAGTAAATAATACTTTGAAACTTAAATGCAGCTTAGTCGATATTTCATAGTTATTGTCTTACATCGTACTTATCTAGTTTAGTTTTAAGCGTAAATAAGGCTAAGGAGTAAGTCATGGTGGCCCGGAGGTTTAAGACACCCTTTAATGCATGAGGGTGCGAGTTTGAAATCTACCAACGGCAAGTACTAATGAGACTTTTTCCGACTTATATGTACTTTCTAAGATTATCTAAACACCACTGACAAACGGTGAAGGAAAACATCGTGAGGAAACCTGGGCTTATAATTTCTAATTATAAGTTTGAAATCGCCAATCCGCGTTGTGCAATCGTTGCGATTAATGCTTAAACCTTCTCCGTGTGAGAAGAAGCTTTGCTCAGCAGTGGGCATTTATAGGCTGTTGATGATGACGGCTAAGGTATAATAGTAATTAGATAGCTAATCTACATCGGTTTATGGGTCCGTCGCTACTGTTCGCTAACACATAAACGTCTATTGCTTGCTCCAGTATTAATTGGATGATGAGATACTATCCCTAACGTCATTTAGTATCGCATTTTAGTCCCGGAATGGGTGGACAGAGGTGTACATATTTATATGCAAATGTAACACGTAATTTTGCCGGATAAATTCATTAAACATTTCTTTTATTTCGTGACTTATCTGGTTTTCTTTTCAAGTAAGTAATAATAGTAAATGGTTGTGTATTATTAATCGTATAATTTATATAAAACAAAAGAATGTATGAGATAATAATGTAGTTGTTGTTAAAATGTTTGTACTGAAAAGTTTCAGGATCAGTAAAACTTATTTATAAAACCTTTCTTTGTCGATGTTGTTTAGTGATCGGCGATAAGTAGGTACGACACTACGTACAAAAATGGATCGTGTTTATTCTGAAACTTTCACGATTACAACTGATCACGTTGATTTAATGACTGGTTGATAAATGAAACTGCTGAGTACAAAGTTTAAATTTCTTTATCACAGCAATCGAATTAGTATTGGGATTTCCCTGCGAAACTCATTTCATCCTTTGACTTAAAATTTTACTGAAAATTTTCTATTTTTCACCGACGGAGTTGTAAGCTTGTCAAATTGTTCTTTTTTAAGTTAGAACTTAAAATGAAGTATCTAAATCAACTAGTTAAAAATTAAAGTGAAGTTTAAAGTTCACATATCTTTATTCATCATCGTCGTCCTTATATTTATACCAGAGGCGTTACAAGTGTGTTACCGGCCGTTTGGGATTGTTTGGGATTCAGGGGTAATAATTAAACGTAAATTGAATTGTAAAGAACATCAAAAACTAAAAAATTACCCAACAATTACGCAGCATTGACTTTTTAACTGTTTATATTACAGTAGAACCTATTGCTCCTTCCATTTAAAACGCACACGACGAAACACAACGCAGGCGTTGTTTCACGTCGGTTTTCTGGGAGGCCGTCGTATCACTCCGGTCGAAACGGCCCAATCGTGCCGAAGCATCCTCTCCCACAGTTTGGAATGTGTGTGAATGTCCATCAAGAAAGACGATTAACTTTAAGCCTGTCTTCTATCTTCTAATCATCTCCTTTTTCTCCGTTTATTAATCCTTCCCACATAAGCATTTTCTTCTGAGCGTTGGATGCGTTTATAATAAACATACAATTTCATATACATATGACATTCAGATATGAAACAAGAATTTATGGGTCACACACAGAATTATGCTCCGATCTTATCTGCTTATATTTAACTTACCTATATATATTTTCCAAATTTACCTGCTATCTATTTTGACAGTAATTATACATAGGTGGGCTTGTTATCAGTAGGTAAACCATATTGGCAGTTTGTATTCAGGTGCCTATAATTAATAATAATATTGTAATGACGTAAACACATTATATTGATAACAGCGATCATCCTTTGTCTTATCACTATCAATACATAACTTACTCAGTCTTGAGTTCGATACCCGCGCTAAAAAATATTTTTGTGTTCAAACTAATTATTTTTTCGGGTGTCACATTTATGTATAGGTATGTATAGATATTGTGAAATCTGACCAAACGCACTGACATGGCGCTGGCGGGATATACAATTCTGTAAAATATGTTTTATACAGCACAAAACTTTAAAGTAACGTAACGTAAAGTAACATTTGAAAAGTTTTAAAATAACTACTAACAGTAAATTTTTCAAATTAAATACTCAGGTATATTAGTTTATTTCCTACTTTGTACACTCTCTAACTCCACATTTCCACCTGCAATCAATACGCTTAAAAAAATAATTTCCTTGAAAAATAGGTTTGGTCGTAGATAAAATTATAGTGATTCATTTTTCAGCATGCAACTGCTAATACCTATATTGCTGAAATAATACATCCGGTGTAGATTAGTTAACTGGCAGTGATACCTATCACTCGGCTCACTTACCGGATAAAACGATTAAGAATAGAAGTGATTTTTATAATATTGACCTGTAGTTAACGGATAAGAGGAAATAGTACGAACAATCTTATGATTTAACTTTGATACTGAGTATCTACTAATCCTACTAATGGTGGCTAGTATACTTATTCTGCATTTTTATTCCATTCAGCATGCACGGTTTTTTTTTTAGGGATGAAAATCATCCAATGTCTTCTCCCGCCTGGGCGAGGCGGGAGGGAGTGTCAGACTTTTACTGACTAAAAACCACCCCGTTCCTTCTCCTGCATTTCAAGCCGGAGCCCCGGTTACCCGTTACTCTTCCGCAAATTCTGCACAGTTAGTGTAATGTTACAAAACTTTTGCAACCACAAGTCAAAGAAGCAAAATACGCAATCAATGTTCAAAAGTTGAATCCAATCAAAATCAACTTAAGCACCTACCTATGTAACACATGCTTTCCTAAATCGTTTTCTTTGAAACAAATCCGTTAATCTAATAGCATACAAGTAATGAAGTAGTTATGTTTACCAAACCTATTGGAAATTCGTAAATTGCTATCGATTAGTCTCCCTGTTTTATTAAGATTATGTGATAAAACAATAATTGGGTAAGATTAGCGTTATCAGCGACAAGCTGTATAGTGTACACGCTTTACTTGTACAGGGTACCCATACTGTTTTAATAACGCCATAAACAACATTTTAATTTTCTTTTCTAACACTAGTTTATAACTTTTCACGTTGTAACTGTTTACTGTGCCATCAAATAAAAAGTATTGTTTATTTATTTATTTATTCACTCATGACATACAAATATACTTAATGTCAGACCCAATACGATATTGTAGCAAATATTAAAATAACAATCATAATCAAAATATAAAAACCAGAAATACCCATTTACCTACACAATATAATATAATTACTTCTACTACTTTTACTATGTATAGCAAATCCTGTGCATAGCTAGCTGCTCGTGTAAATTGACCTAAAGAGCAACAGAATATATCTACGTCAATAGCAACGAGGTTCAGAGTGCGGAATAAAAATAAACAACTATTGTTTTTTTTTAATTCATTAAATGATAGGTCATAAAATGTTTATTCAAAAATAAATAAAGTTAGACAAACTACACTTTCTTTTGTTCTATAATTATGCGTCTAGTTAGTCTATTTCTGTCTCTACAAATCCTTTGTAAAATGAAAGAGATGGCACGATATTTAAGTACAATTTAAAAATGAGTATTCAGGCGATAGATTCATATCTATATCTATTTAATTTACTACGTGATTAAAAACATACGTAAGCTTCATAAATCAATCGAAGTATGTATTTAATACGTTAATATAAAACACTAGCGATCCGCCGCGGCTTTGCACAGGTCCAATATGTATGTATTATACATAAAAACCTTCCTTAAGAATCCCTCTATCTATTAAAAAAAAACTACATCAAAATCCATTGCGTAGTTTTAAAGATCTATGCATACATAGGGACAGACAGACGCGGATAGCGGCTTCGTTTTATATTATGTAGTGATTTCTGACTTAATATCTGATGAATTTCAAAAATCATAGAACAAAAACGAATGTTTATAAGTCAGTAATACAGTCCTACGATTAATGTTTTTACAATAGGCCTGTATAATCTACGGCGTGTAAGCAACGCATAGCAAATTGTATTGTTTTAAACAAATTAGTACATTGTGAATTTAATGTTCCTAATTATGTGGATTGCGTGTTATAATAGGCAGTAGCGAATAGAAAGTATTTTTTAAATTGTTTCCGTCCACTACTTTGTCTGCGTCGAATTCTTAACGGATACTATATAATATGACACGTTTTAAATTTGCCAAAAGCAGTAGGCAGAAGTGTAAATTGTAATCAATGTAATGTTACATTCATTTTTCGAAAGTTATTTGTTTCTATTTAATTAAGGACAAGTCGTATACTTTGCTTAAATTGGAACACTGAAATACAATTGTAAATACTATGAATACTAATTATAAACAATGTAACACCCACATTTCACTATTTATTTTATGAGTCCCA